CTCCAGCCCCTCCATGTCCATCCTGAATTGAGGGTTCCAGAACTGGACACAGCACTCCCAGTGTGAGCTCAGCAGTGCCAGCACAGGGGACAGTCCCTGCCCTGCTCCTGCTGCCACACTATTGCTGAGACAGGCCAGGGGCCATTGGCCTTGCCCACCTGGGCTCACGTTCAGCAAACACTGAGCTGCATTCCCAGTTTCTTTCCTGCTAGGCAGCTTTCCATGGAAACTAGAACTGGAACAGAATGAAACTGGTGTGACCACAGTGCAGGACGTGGCACTTTGTGTCATTGACCCTCACACTGCTGGCCTTGGCCCATGGCTCCAGCCTATCCTGATCCCTCTGAAGAGCTTCCTGCCCTGCAGCACATCCACACTCCTGCCCAACTTAGTGCTGTGTGTGAGCTTACTGAGAGTGCACTCCATCCCCTTGTCCAGATCATCAATAAAGATATTAAACCTCAGGAAGAGCTTACCTGGCTTTAATTGCTCCAAAAGCCTGTAAAGACAATTTGAAAGCAGAATTAGCACAGTGCAGGCACAGGCCAGCCCTGGAGCTGTGTGTCTCTGGGAAGGGAGATGCTGATAGATACCCTGGAGAAAAGAAGTGTGTCCTCCTGATTTCTCAGAGCCTCCAACTCCTGAATATCATGTCTGGCTAAATCCTTCTCCCTCTTTTGATTATTCATCTCTGTCTGAATCCGAGAAAGTTGTTGCTCCTCATAGCCATTAAGAACTTTCAGGACCTCTCTTTTTTTGTTCTCTAGCTGCTTATTAATATCCTTGAACAGCCTCTCCAGCTGTCCCCTCCGCTGGCTCTCCGCAGTCTGTTAAGAAAACAATTTCAAAATTGGAAGGGACATTTTCCACATGAGCTCTCACTCAGAAAAAAAAAAAAAAAAAAATCTCTTTTTTCTGGGATGAGACAAGTAACTAAATGGTGAAGGTTGAAAAAATAAAAAAGCCACACACTAGCCACTCATCAGGAGGCACAGATTTTCAAGCTTAACTAAGAATGTACCTCCCAGACTGGTAAGAAAGTTCTGCATCATCCTCCCACAAAGAAGAAACCTCAAAAATACATGAGAAACCATCCAGGAACTAAAAAAGCTTCAGAATCCATGATCTGGGTAGGGGCAAAAAAAACTTTATCTCATCATTTACCAGCAAGAACCACCCCAAGGTGATATGAGACCTTGAAACAAACCTTTAGTTCATTCTCTTTTTTCACGAGGTTTGCTATGGCTTGATCCAGTACAGCTTCATGGTTTTTTAATGTTTCCAGAGTTCCAGGAAGAGATCTCTACAAATATAACCAGAAGGAGGTATCAGGATAGGACTGGCATAATGCACGAGATCAGCAGTTTTATCGACAGGGGTTAGGCTAGACTTGCAAAAGCTTGGCTAACTGCATGCTCTCAGGACAAATCAGAAGATAAAGGTTTACTGGAAGTTTTTATCCCTGAACAAATGCCACAATTACAAGCACAAAAAGGACAATTTGAAGCTGAAAACTGTTAATGTGCACTGGCCACATATAAAGCTATTTCCCCTGTTGGCACTTTTCTTTCTGTTACTCTGCCATTAATTACCTTTGCAAAAGTACAGCTCAGGCTCATCTTTGGCTTGGAGGTGCACCAAGGACTAAAACCTCGCACGAGCACTCAGTCCCACCAGTTTGGCCAAACTCTTCCCTCAGGAGGGGGAAAAACGCATTTATAACATCTTGTTTTAGATCTCAAGGGCCAAACCCAGGGAGAATCTGGGACAAAGCTACGAATAAAATCCCAGGATTCCAATTCAGCCCCATCCTGGGTCTGCAGTTCTGAAGCAGGAGTTGCCCCTGTGACATGGGCAGCTCTCTGGGGTTTTCCTGATGCAATCCATGCCTGTCCCTGTCTTGGTTTAGGGTAAATTTGGGAGGAAACTTTTGAATAGGGTATTTTTAGGAAATAGATTTAAGCAGTCCCTCCCCAAAATGGTTTGGGGAAATATTTTCTCGGAGGGAAGTGGGAAAAAAACCTGTTTATTTAACAAGTAAAGTACTTTCCAGTACAAAAAATGAACAATACTAAAAAGCAAAACTTTTTGTCGCTTTGATGAGACGACAAATTTGGAAGAGTCCTTTTTGTGGGTTGCAGCCTGGCTCACTTAGTTTGTTTTTAGTTCTTTCGGCACTGGGAAATGCCGTGGCCTGGTGAGTTACAGGTGTGAATTTTTGGTGCTCTTCTGGGTTTTTAGTTCAGAGCAGGTTTGAACAATTTAAGAAAAAGGGGGAAAAAAATTATAGTTTAGGGAGCTCCTTTGTTTTAGCTAGCAAAAAAGAAACTAATCAAAAGCAAAGAAGAGCTTTTTTTTTTTGCTGTTGTTATGAATGATGTTCTATTTTTCTCAATTTATCAGGCAACAAGATTAAATTTAATAGTAAGTTTTTAATAGTAACAAAATGAATACAATCAAAGTATTGGAGATGACAATTAAAGTATTGGAGATGAAACAATCAAAGTGCATATATTTAAGAATATACAAAATTT